AAACAATGAGGTCGTTTCAACACTGATAAACAAACAATGAGGTCGTTTCAACACTGATAAACAAACAATGAGGTCGTTTCAACACTGATAAACAAACGAGGTTGTTTTAACACTGATAAACAAACATCGATAAACAACAACGAGGTTGTTTTTACACTGATAAACAACAACAAGGTTGTTTCAACACTGATAAACAACAACAAGGTTGTTTCAACACTGATAAACAACAACAAGGTTGTTTCAACACTGATAAACAACAACAAGGTTGTTTCAACACCGATAAACAACAACAAGGTTGTTTTAACACTGATAAACAAACATCAATAAACAACAACAAGGTTGTTTCAACACTGATAAACAACAACAAGGTTGTTTCAACACCGATAAACAACAACAAGGTTGTTTTAACACTGATAAACAAACATCAATAAACAACAACAAGGTTGTTTCAACACCGATAAACAACAACAAGGTTGTTTTAACACTGATAAACAAACATCAATAAACAACAACGAGGTTGTGTAACACTGATAAACATAATGTGAAGTGAATCTGATTTTATGCTAAAATGACTTGCCATAAAAGTATTTACAAGTTTAACATTTGTTTGTTTGATGTTAAAGCCCAGCTGACAGACCTGCTGCTCTGTTAATAAAGCAGCTGTATCAGGTGGGGATCTGTACCTGCTGATGAATCAAGACCTGAACCTGAGTCTCAGGTGTGAGGACTGAGGACTGACCCTGCGATGTAGAACCAGGCCTTCTTCTTGGTGATCAGGTCCCAGAGGAGCGCAGAGTTCTCCTTCACCCGGTGCTGAACGTAAACCTTCTCCTCCTGAACAAACACAATTCAGCTGAGCTGTGAGGCTCCGCCCACAGACCACACCTGTCTCACCTGTCCTCCCACAGACCCACACCTGTCTCACCTGGTCTCTGGAGAAGGCAGTGAAGAGGAGCAGATGTCCAGCCTTCATCATGTCCTCCCACTCAGAGGAGAAGAAGAAGTCTTTGGACTCAGAGCGACAGCCGAAGAACAGAACATTACCTGAGGAGCAGAGAGAGGACTACAGGACCTGGTCTGGACTACAGGACCTGGTCTGGACCACAGGACCTGGTCTGGACTACAGGACCTGGTCTGGACCACAGGACCTGGTCTGGACTACAGGACCTGGTCTGGACCACAGGACCTGGTCTGGACTACAGGAACTGGTCTGGACTACAGGAACTGGTCTGGACTACAGGACCTGGTCTGGACCACAGGACCTGGTCTGGGCCACAGGAACTGGTCTGGACAGCAGGACCTGGTCTGGACTGCAGGACCTGGTCCGGACTGCAGGACCTGGTCTGGACCACAAAGACTCACCAGTCTTTCCCTCCATCAGTCTCTCCTGTAACAGGGACCTGAAGGGGGCCACTCCAGTTCCTGGTCCCACCAGGACCACGGGGGTGTCTGGGTCTGTGGGGAAGCGGAGACTCCCCTTCTTGACCCACAGGGGGACCGAGACCTCCCCTGCAGGAGACAGGACAGGGTTCAGACTGAGGACAGAGAACCTGTAAACTGGTTGTGGGTTTGAGTCCAGGAGGACCTTGTTGGGGGTCCAGAGAGGCCAACCAGGAGGAGCAGAGACCCCGCCTGGGTCTGTGCAGCTTGGTCCTGTACTGGACCACAGCCACGAGGATCTGGAGCCGGTCCGGATGAGCCTGAGCACAGAGACTCCTGTTATTACTCTGGACTGGGTTCTGAGGTTCTGCTGCAGGGTCCAGAACCTTCAGAGACGAGGCGATGGAGAAGGACCGGGCCTGGATCTCAGGGAACAGGTCCAGGAGGTAGTCCACTTTGATCTCAGCTGTGGTGTGAGGGAAATCTGCCAGAACCTGAAACAAGAAGGAAACCAGCTGACTGGACCAGAACCGGACCCTCAGCCTGGCTCAAACCGGGTCAGGACCGGGGCTCACCTCCAGCGCGGTGCGGCGGGGGCGGGTGCAGTAGGCGTGCAGCTGGTCCTGACCCGACGCCGAGCAGAACTCCCAGAGCTTGTCCCGCTCCAGCTGGTGGGAGGAGAAACAGGCCAGCTGCTGGAAGAAGGAGCGGCGCGGCACCGAGCTCAGGTCCAGGTGGCGCCGCAGCAGGAGGCGCAGCGAGCACGGCTGAGGGAGACCCGCCGGTACTGAGGAGGACAACACACACCTGAAACCTGGACCAACAGAACCGGTTCAGTCCGCTCACAACACACACACACCTGCCCAGGTCCCTGTGGGGCTGAGAGTGAAGCTGGAGTCCGGGTCCAACCGGAGCAGCTGACAGAACCGCTCCACGTCTTCTTCTGCGTTACACGGTCGGATCAGAACCACGTCTCCGGCTGAGAACCTGCAGAACATCGAGAGAAGACGGCTCAAACCCAAGAACCGGGTCCGGATCGGATCAGAGCCGGGATGAGACGATGGTTCCGTACTCGATTCTGGACCCGGAGATGTCAAACTCTATGAGCCGGACGTCCTGGAAGTGGGTCGGGTCCGTTACCCTCCTGTTGGACACCATCCTGGCAGGAAAGGGACAGGACTGAGACGGGACCGTTTGGACCGGGTGGATCCTCAGACCCGAGTCTGGCTCCGGTTTATCATCCAGGAAGTGGAAGGAGAACGACGGGGGGAGTCTGAAACAAACAACCAGTGTTTACAAAACAAACAAACAAAAACAAACAACCAGTGTTTACAAAGCAAACAACCAGTGTTTACAAAACAAACAAACAAAAATAAACAATCAATGTTTAAAACAAACAAACAATCAGCGTTTACAAAACAAACAAAAACAAACAACCAGTGTTTACAAAACAAATAAACAAAAACAAACAACCAGTGTTTACAAAACAAATAAACAAAAACAAATAACCAGTGTTTACAAAACAAACAATCAGCGTTTACAAAACAAACAACCAGTGTTTACAAAACAAACAAAAACAAACAACCAGTGTTTACAAAACAAACAAACAAACAACCAGTGTTTACAAAACAAACAAACAAANAAACAAACAACCAGTGTTTACAAAACAAACAAACAAACAACCAGTGTTTACAAAACAAAAACAAACAACCAGTGTTTACAAAACAAACAAACAAACAAACAACCAGTGTTTACAAAACAAACAAACAAACAAACAACCAGTGTTTACAAAACAAACAAAACAAACAATCAATGTTTAAAAACAAACAAAAACAATCAATGTTTAAACAAACAAACAAACAAACAATGTTCAAAAAAACAATCGTTTAAAAACAATCGATGTTTAGAAACAAACAGTTTAAAAGCATCCGATCAATGTTTACAAACAAACAAACAATGTTTACAAACAAAACAAATGTTTACAAACAGGTAACATTTATAAACAAACAGAGAAGTTTTCTGTTTCTCACGAACAGCAGGACTCAGWCTGAGTTGGACTCACGGCTCGTCGTCCCTCACAGGGTCCAGTTCTGCCAGAGACGGGTTCAGAACCAAGACCTGGTCCCAGAACGAGGAGAACCACGGGTCGATGACGGCGTCCGGTCTGTTGTAACAAACAAACGAGCTTTAACATCAGCTGAAGGTTTGAAAACAAGACGGAGGGGTTCTGGTTCTGGTTCTGGTTCTGACCCCAGATCGTGCTGATCGTCTGCCAGACCCACAGGGACCAGCATGTGGACCCCCAGCTGCAGGAGGCGCTTCTGGAGCTTCTTGGCAACAAAATTAAACCTGAAACAAACAGAAGAAAGATTCTGACACAAGTGAAGGTTCTGCAGGTCCGAACGGATCAGAACCAAACCAAACGAAGAACAATCATGAAATAAAATCAGAACCAAGTCCGACTCATGTTGGACCTGCAGGACTCACTTTGGGTACGAGGAGTCCCCCAGACCCAGGACCGCACAGTCCAGACGGCTCAGAGAGCCGGCAGGTAAAGACTTCCTGAAGAGAAACCTCCAGAAGTTCTGCAGAGGAAACAGAACCCGACCGGGTCAGATTATAATCTCAGATTATTATTTCAGATTGGTACTTCCAGATTATTAATTCAGATTATTGTTTCAGATTATTATTTCAGATTATAATTTCAGATTATAATCCTGCAGTCAGACAGTACCTTCATGTTGTCAGGAGGTTCTCCTTCTCCTGTCGTGGAGCAAACAAACACCACCAGAGTCTCTGAGATCAGGTCCACCTGAAGAAACACAACAATGAGTCCGGACCTCTGCTGATCCAGAACCAGGACAGTCTGGATCTTAGGGGGTCAGGTTTTTGTTGGTCTGGACTTGTGGACCTATCGGGTCTGATGATGGATCCTGGTTCTGAGAACCCAGCCTCACCACATTGTAGCTGTCCAGGGACATGACCCGGACCTTCAGCCGCCTCCTCTGAGCCTGCCGGGCCAGCCTGTGGGCCGTGTCCTGGGCGGTACCGGTCTGACTCCCATACAGAACCAGCAGGTCCGGACCGACCATCCTGACTGAACAGAACCACAAAATACAGACTTCTGGATTTAAACACTGAAGATGTAGTTTAACTGTTTCTGAAATTAAACCTCTTATTTTACTGTTATATAAATATTACGTCATAATTCTACACTTTTATACATAAAACTATTACTACAGTTATTATAACAGTGGAATAATTTTTAATTGAAACTTTCTCATTGACACTGGGTCCTGTGGCTAGCTGCTAACAACCAGCTGCTAACAACCAGCTGCTAACAACCAGCTGCTAACAACCAAGCTGCTAACAACCTAGCTGCTAACAACCAGCTGCTAACAACCAGCTGCTAACAACCAGCTGCTAACAACCTAGCTGCTAACAACCTAGCTGCTAACAACCAGCTGCTAACAACAGGGACAG